GCTGAGAGTTTAACATTTCAATGTGTTTGCCTCGCTGTAGTGATACGGTTCTGCAGCAGCTCGGTCTGGTCCAAGGCCCAGGCTTAAGCTGAACAACTCTTACCAAAGCTAGATTTTGAGGATCTTTGAATAAAATCTATTTCTCCTGAAACATTTCAGTGATTTTGACTGTAAACTGCCAGACAGGTGGAGAAGCAGCATGTTCTTGTCCTTCTTCAGCAAACCCAACAGTTTCCTTCCTTGCATCATTGTAAACCCAGAGTTGCTCTGTTGACTTCGCTGCTTTTGAGCTGATTGCTTTAAAGGAAGGCTCAGTTCTCCTCTTTGTGTTAACTTACTGTCACCTTTTTTATCATCTAGGGAGTTAGGCTTATTTGGTTCTCAAGAGATTAATAATAATAATAATTTAAATGCCATGCTAATTTGTGTGACTCACTGGAAGGGCCATTGCAGCTTTCTGAATGTTGCATCCTCAGGTTTAAGCAACCAAACCTCATAATCAATTTGCTCTGTGTACTTTGCTCCTTTGCTGTGACAAGTGCACCTTAATACAAGTTATTTATGATCCCTTACAGTATTACAGTAGCTGCCCTGCAGTATATAGTGTAGAGCTGATGAGATCTTGGCAGTGTGAAACCACAGTATGTTGGCATCTCTACATGTGGAACATTTCGAGGGGAATGGAGCACCACTGCCTTGGACAGGGAGGCTCCTTTGTGAGACTCTCAGCAAATTATGAGACTTGGAAAAATTTTTAGTCCTCGCTCTGGGTGAGTTGGGGCAACACTGTGTGAGTGTGTGTCTTTTACACTAATACCTGGGGAAAATCTTGAAAAATCCCAAACAAATACATTAGGAACTGTATTCAGACTGTGTGTCCAAAACAAAAAATGGATGTTGTAAGACCCACTGGATAATATTGACTTGCCAATAAGTGAAGATAAGATTTTTGGAGACAGTGCTTCATGGAACCGTAGTTAAATGTTGTCGTTGCTTACTTCAGAAATGAAAGAGATATTTCCAGGCACATGACTCCAAGCTTTATCAATCATTTCTGTACAACACTGGAGTCTCTAGAGCGTGGACTAAACTCACGAAGTCCAGATTCAGCGTAAGCTTGGCTTAGCAAGAAATCTAAACTGAATGTGGTAGATCACAGCACGGTCTCCAGTTCCATCCTGGTCCCAGTGCTATCAGTGCTAGCTACTTCTAAAGAAGGATCAGGCAGTAGGAGCAAGCCTGATGATTTTAATTTGGCTTTATTGGCATACGAACTCTGAAACTTTCCAAATACTTGTTCTCTGTCTCTCTTTACCTAACAGTGGTTGTAGTAACTGCAAGTATGTCAGTCTCTTCTTGGGTGACTCTCAAGTCCCAGTCAAAGTTTTCAAGTGGGCATGTCTAGCCATGTACTCAGTTCCTCTCTGAACCCTGTAAGCCAGAAGATGAGTGTTCCTATGATATTAAGTACTTAATTAGCAGCTTGAACATCAAGCAGACTACCCAGAGCGTTGGGAATGAATGACAGTAGAGATGTATAAAGCACAATAGTTCTGTTGACCTGGGCTCCGTGATCTCCTACTCTATAGCTGATCTCACATGTCTCTGTCTTGCTGTCCAGGTTTTACTGGGATTTGACCATGCTGCTCCTGATGGTAGGGAACCTGATCATCATCCCTGTGGGCATCACTTTCTTCAAGGATGAAAACACTACCCCATGGATTGTCTTCAATGTGGTTTCGGACACATTCTTCCTCATCGACCTTGTCCTCAACTTCCGAACAGGCATTGTGGTGGAGGACAACACAGAGATCATCCTAGACCCACAGAGGATCAAGATGAAGTACCTGAAGAGCTGGTTTGTGGTGGATTTTATCTCCTCCATCCCTGTGGACTATATCTTCCTGATTGTTGAAACCCGCATTGATTCCGAGGTGTACAAGACGGCTCGGGCACTGCGCATCGTGCGCTTCACGAAGATCCTCAGCCTCCTGCGGCTGCTGCGACTCTCCCGGCTCATCCGCTATATTCATCAGTGGGAGGAGGTGAGCAGAGGCTGTGATGCACTTGCATCCTAAATCTTTTCTCCACTTTACGCTGATATTACACAAAAGTGCTTTCTTTGAATGCCTGTTCTCCTGCTTTATCCCAGTGTGAATGCTAAAGAATTGTGTCTTGAGTCTAATGCCATGCTTTTAGCAGGTTCCCAAGGGAGCCTTCAGCATATTGTTACTTACTCACTTGAGACTGTGCTATCTGCTTCACAGTCGTAAGATATGGAATCTGTGGAGGTGATGCGTGGGCTGGGAGGAGAGTAAGTACAGGTGGACTCCCTGCAGGAAGTGTGTCGTTATAGAGCTGTCTTTGAGGAGAGCAGTTAGCCAGGCAAGCGGGGTCTTGCCCCCTCAGAGCCCCAAAAGCTCCAGAAGCAGCTGAGAGGAAAGATCTAGAGACAGCTGATTCACAGAACCTGTCGCATTTGTTTACCCAAGCGTCGTCTTCTTTTACATGCTTATCTCTTGGATAGACGGCTCGGTGATGTATTTATAACCTTCTTGCTTTCTAAATTCTGACACGATGTTAAGGGGAAGAGGAAGGAAGAGCAACCTGCAGACAAATAGGATCTGTTTGAAGATGTAAGTGTCTGGTGAAAAGCAAGAGCCCCGCTACCCCTGAACCCTGTGCTGTTCCCAGGGGAGTTCCAATACTCAGGATGAGTTGTCAGGCCTAATGTGAGTGAAGCCACAACCTTACAAGTAGCTTGAAAATGACTTATTTTTTCCTGTCTCCCTGCTCTCCAGAGCAGAGAGAAAGCTCCCTGCAGCTTTCTCCGTATGTCAGGAGCATATTTTCAGGACAAAGAAAGCTGGTCAAGGCAATTTCATCTTCCTCCCCATACTTTCTCCTCTGCTTTGGAGCAGAGCCTGATGCAGCGCATGATCTAATGCCGAGTGTGCTCCTGGGAATGTGAAGGGAAAGCAGCCATGTAAGTCATGGCTAGATTGGACTGAGCTGTCAGAACACTAACTCATGATAGAGCTGAACCATATCCTCCTCCCAGCATCACAGGCTCAGAGGGGGAGCACTGGTGCATGCTTTACAAATTTCAGACTTCGTCTTTGTGGTGTTACAGTTTGTGAATGCTTCACTTGCAGCAGAGCGTAATGCCTTGTTGAAGTTTGGGATGACACTGTGCAAGGTGCTGTACAGATGTACAGGGAGAGACGGCAACAGCCCTGAAGAATTCACTGCTAAGTTAATTTGCTTCATAGCACAAGCAGGCAGGAAGTGCATGGAGAGATGGAGATAAATAAAGCAGAAGTGTCCTTCTCAGTGTGACTCAGTAAGTCGGAGACTGAGCAGAGCAATGAAACATCTCCAGGTCTGTTGTCTTGGCCCTTGGTGGCATTGCTTCTCTGTCCTCTAATCCGAGAGTGCTCAGGAAAGGCGAGCTGATGGCTTAGGCTGGTGTTAAAGTAGCTTCTTCATACGGATTTACATGTAGCCACAGCAGTGCAGAGCTCCGTGCTTGCTTGTCTCTGCTCCTTGATTTCCTTTCCATAAGGTGGCTGAAGAGGATTTAAGTGTATTTGCTGCTGATTGTACTGAATTTGTTTTAAAAAAATAATGAAATGGAAGCAAATCAGCCCCTTTCCCTGTCTTGCTTCTCGTGCAGTTTCACTGAGCATCCATTTCTAGTTCCAGTCTCTTGACACCAATCGGTGGGGCGTTGTTCCCTTTTGCCGCCCGTCATGGGTGCCAGGGGGCATCACAGCCAGGTGCTCTCTGGGACCCCCTGAAGAACAGACTCCCTGGAGTGATGCAGTGCTGCAAGTGGAAGGGACAGATGGTGTTGGATTGCAGTTGGAGACTGCAATGCAGACTCTGTTATGCATTGCAGAGCCCAGCAGAGCAAACATGATAGTCTTTTTTTCAAACAGGGCTCGACCCAAGCAGCAGTTTCCCGGAGAGGGTATGATACTGGGAGCTTTTCTACCTTCTCAGCTGGGGGAGGGAAGCAGAGAGAAGGGGTGATCCCTTGTCATTGGCACAGTGCATGCTACAAAGCAACAAGGAGACGGGGAAGAGAAGTACTGCTTCATCTTTGTGTGGGAGTAAACGGTTGTGCTCCCTGGAACCTCACTGACAGTTCTTTCTTCCTCTTCCTCTGAAGCGCCTACAGATGATCCATCTCGGAAAGTTCACATTACTCTTTCCTCAATGCATAGATCAGCAGTGATGATCTGGAAATGTTAATTGCTGTAGGACGGAGCAGTGTTGGACTAGGCTTACTCAGGGTGTACACAAGGGACAGGTTGCTGTGCAGAGTTAGAGGAGGAGGAGGGGGTTGCTGAAGACTCTGCTCTCCTTTGCTCCCTCACACTGCCCCACTCTGTGTCTCCTCTGCTAGGTAGTATCCTTCTCTCTTAGGGACTTTCCATATGACCAGATAAACTAAAAATAGTTTATCTATGAGTAAACTATAAAAATAGTTTATCTCTAGTGCTGAGACTCCGGGTCCTTCATGAGGAGGAGAGGGGGATCCAGTATACACAGAGATGTTAATCTATTTACTCTGCCTTTTAGACAAACATTACATCTGTGCATTAGTGTTACTCTGAATGAGTACAGAGGTAAGTGGTCACTTCCTGATTTCATAGCGAGCCTCTCCGTTTCTTCCCCTGCAATTGTCCATGCTCTGCATGAATTTATCACTCACCCTGCAGTGAGCAGAGAGCAGCCT